CCTCGCCTTTCCTCCTCCTCACTCACATCGACCCGACAAGTTGGACTCTTTCTCCTCCCCCTTACAGGCGCCCCTCAAAGAGGGGTGCGCCCCCCCCCCGCAGCGGAGTTGGACTCTTCCACCCGCCGCATTCACCCCAGCTACCGAGTTGGAGCCCCGCGAATGGGATGAACTCACCCCACACGCCACTCATGACGCACAACGCATGCGACACCTATCCGGCCGCGGCTGTTTCCCAAGGGCGCTGGGAAAATTCGTCACCGCTCCGTTGAGACCACACGCCCCCCTGCTTTGACAGGCAGGCGCGAGAGCCAATCAACACCGCCTAGGTAGATGCGGGGTCGGGGACTCTTACTGACGGCTCTCTAGCACCACCTGCCGAGCGTGTGGGGAGGGGGCGGGGCTTGTATCTTGGCAACGGGGAGGGGCGGGGCTGAGTTGACCCGGTCTTACAGTCTAAGACGGTCCAATGGGGGGCGGGGGGTCTGGGAGCTGCTCCCAGCTGTGCAGGGAAGTGGACAAGGCTGGCTCCGCAGCAGGGATCCTGGTTTTCTCTTTTAAAAAAAATCCTTCATTTTCAGATTAAAAATGGTAACCCCGACTCCACTCTTTTCTGTGATTAAAATGAAACACCTCTCTCTCTCAGTCACTTTCTCTCTCTCTCTCTCTCTCTCTCTCTCTCTCTCTCTACACACACACACACACAGAGTGGCGTTTCATTTTAATCATGGAAAAATTTGAATTTTGGTTTACTTTTTTAAATCCAAAAATTGGAGATCCCTGCTCATCATGGAGACTGCAAATACCCCAGGACCGTGAGTGCCCAGGTATGGAGATACTGAGGCATTATTGAATATTTACAGCCGGGGAGAAGGATTTGGCCAGACTCTGCTTACTGCTCTTGAACTTTATTTTTTTACACTTGGCTGCCTAGGGCAGGCCCAGGGGCCGCAGCTGGGACTTGAGACCCTCCTGCCGGGTGCTGCCAGGTCTTGGGCATGTGAGCACAGTGAGGCTGCCAACTTGATTCACAGCAGAAATCCAGAGTTTTCCCCTGGGAATCCCCAGGGTGACAAGCCCTCAGTCAGGACGTGGGCTTTCCGAGCTCTTGGCAGCTCTTGGCTCCGTCTTGTTTTCTTGTCATTAACAAGGTGAAAACAGAGAGCTGGCATCTTCCAAGAGCTGCCTTGAGTCTGCAAAAGGTTGAGAATCACTGATTTAGGCCAGGGGTGCTCAACCTCCAGCCCACAGGCCAAATGCAGCTCACAGAGCTATTACATCTGGCCTGCGGGGCTCTCCATGGGTCAGGAAATTTAGTGGCAGGGGAGCAGTGGCCGTTAATAAGGCCACCCTTCCCTCTGCCAAATTTCCAAACCCAGTTAGATCCAGGATGTACCTCCTTCCCAATCTAGTGCCTGGGGCTCGGTGAAGCCCCCTTCCCTTCCCTCCCCACTGTGGGCCTGGGCTCATGCCGGGCTGCCTGCCAACTCACTCCATGTGGCCAGATAATGGCTGGCCCACTGGCCCCAGGTACTAAATCAGAACCACCAGCCAGCTCGCAACCAGACCTGGCACTGCCTATCTGGTCCACTAGGGGAAAAGGTTGAGCATCACTGATGTAGGGTGGATGCCTATTCAAAGTGGTTGGGAATGGTGCATATGCATGTAATGTGTGTGTGTGTGTGTGTGTTCTGAATGCCAGATCAATTTGTAGCAAAGCACAAAAATCACAGGTTCTCACAGGTGTTTGGGCACGCCAATCCATTTAAAACGGCGGAAATGTGTCAGAAGAAACAGAAGAGGTCTCTCAACTTTAATCCTCACTGTGAAACCTGAATAGGAGCAGTGCAGGAAAAACTACATTTGCTGAATTTTCTAAAGGCACCATATACCTTATTCTGGAAAGCACTTATTTTTGAAGCACCAAGTGACAGCTTTACAAACAAACACATCCTCTTTTAGGACATGTTTCTTCACGTTAGTATTAATCATTAGAAATAAAAAGTCACCTACAGCTTTGTTTTTACATTACTTGGGCCTTTTGAACCCATCACACTAAAATCAGCAATAGTGCGATTTGTCCCATGATCTTTAATGCATGCAGGTTTGCTTACTTAATATCTCTTAAGAATAAGTGGTTTCTGGCAAAACATTATAAGCATAAATATTGGCAACTTAAAGCAATGCTTTGGTATGGTAAAATAACACTTCAAACAGATGCCATGTGGACAATTTAAGATTTTGCTCTACTTTTTGAGGTACAACAGCTTAGGGAGAAAGATATGTTGTATTTAAATCCGAGGCGGAAAATTGAAGTCTAGAAAATAAATTACAATAGTAAGTATCAAATACATCTTTGATAAAAACAAAACCATTTCCTCTGTTACCAGATATCAACCTTTATAATACTGAACTATTTTGGACTTTGATGATTTGTGGCTGGCCATGTGACATATTTTTCATAGTTTTTCCATAGATTCAGAGAGTTCAAGGCCAGTTAGGGAACATAGTCTGATTTCTTGTATAACATGAGCCTCTTAAGCTGATGCATGTACCCCTGTAGTGAGTACAATACCAGTTTTAGTTAAAGCATATCTTCCAGAGAGGCTTTCAGTCCATCTGGGATCTGAAGATCTTGATAAATGGAGAAACTACTTGTTTTAGTTGGAGTTTGGTTTACATTGGCCTGTATTGATAAGCCAAATAGATTGAGTTCTTTAAGTCCTCACTGTAAGGAGATTTTAAGATTTTAGAAAAATAATTTCCTACTACATTTTTTCTTTTCTGAGTCATTCATGTATGTTAACCACTTTGCTCTAAGGGTCCAGCAAGTAAGAAAAAAGGTTGAGGGTGGAGAAGAGAGAGATAGTTTCTCACAACATTTTCCATGCGGTTTTGACTGGGTCAAGTATTTTGCTCAAGTATAATGCCTCACAGCATTACCTCTGCATATTTACTGAGTTTGTCCGTGCTGTAAAAAGGCTACTGGCAAATTAAAGAATATGTTGGAGAAAATGAAGCAATAGTATTGATGAATAAGGTGAAATGGGAAATGTCTGATACAGCTTAAGAGACTGATTAAACCTGTGTAAGATACAAAAGTTGCCAGGCAAAGAGGAAGGCCCAAGATATCGCTATGATATAGAAACCAATTTTTTCATGTTAATAACTTCCTTCAAAGTGCTAGGTGTCCTCAACTCCCATTTTCCATCACATTTTGGATATTCAGAGGTCCCAAGCACTAGGGCATGTTCTACTTGTGGACGAAGTCAGATCTCTCTGGCTTGGCCCACATTAACCTGCAGGCAAATATGGATTTCCAGCTACACTCTGTGACACTTTCTCAGGTACCAAAAGTGACCTTTGCCTCTTCTTTCCCTAACCCAGGGGTAGGCAAAATATGGCCTGGGGACCAGGCCTGGCCTGCCAGGACATTCTATCTGGTCTGCAGGGGCCCTAAAAAATTTAGAAAATATTTATCTATTCCTGGATGTCTGTCAAAGTTGATAGGAGACAGGGGCAGTAGGAGCCAGGGGGAGGCATCAGCAGAACACAGCAGCCCAGCCCAGCCCCCACCACAGCCATTTCCCTACCTTCCTGCCCTTGCACTGCTCCAGAATCATGTGGCTCCTGGCTGCATGACCAGATGACAGGAGCATGGGGCTACACTGTTACCCAGGGGGGTGGGGAGGTTGTTTGTAGCATGAGTCCCACATGCACACCCCACTATACACATGCACCCTCAGCCCCCCTTGCACAGCCATACGTGCAGACCCCCACCCCCTCACCCCCTCATGCACCCCAGCCACCCCACCCCAACAAACCCCATACCCACCCACACCCCACATATCCACACACGCACC